ATATTCTTAATGTAATTGAAATATTTAGTATTATTCTTCTGATTTTTTTCCTGGTATATTTTTGCATTCTGCCTAATTTGTAGTAGAATTTTAATTAAATATATAAATTTGGTAATCTTTTTTTTTAAAGACATATTTATGTATATAAGAACTGGGGTGTAGCTAGAGGTGAGTGAGGTAAGAGGATTTGCTAGAAGCAGTGGGGAGTAGAACAGGTCAATTTACTGAAATACATTAGTAAGGGGAGCAGCAGGTAAGATAGGAGAGGTCTGCTGCATCATGTGGACCAACTCAACTCCCTGGCTGGGGATCAAACTCAGGCCACAATAGCTAATGATAGTTTGATAGCACTGAGACTTAACCCCTGCACCACCAGGGATACCCATATTTGGTAATCTGAAACTAATGCTGGGTGTTCTGATTGTTCAAGCCAATGTTATTCCTTTCTGAATCAGAATAATTTATTTTAATAAAGAGAATTTTTATAGCATTTATAGAATTTTTATGAAATTTAATGAATGTAGTCTTAGTAAGTTAACTTTAGGGGGTTTATGTAATGGAAGAAATAGATACAAAGTTGAAGTGTAATCTACTTCATGTTTTAAAAAAATGTACTTCAAGTTAATTGCTACAGAAACAAATCCTAAAGAAGAAACAAACATTATCTCTTTCCAACGGAATCAATAATACAAATTTGGAAGAAATAAATATAGGGAACAAAAAGTAAAGTAAAAATACAGCCACCTTGAAGGCAATTATTCTAATAAAGAGTGTATAAATAATCCAAATTACAAGTAATTTTTCACATAGGAAGTTGGAGAAGATATTCATGTTTTGTGTAGAAACTAAATAGTAGTCAATGAAATGATCTTACAAACAGTAACTTTTAATGATCAAAAGTTCAGCTTCATAACATGGGAAAATGTCCATGAAATGAAAATGTTTTCAGATAAACTCATTTGCAGCAATATGGATGGAACTGGAAAAGATCATGCTTAGTGAGATAAGCCAGAAAGAAAAAGAAAAATACCGGATGGTTTAACTGATCTTTCACTGATCCTTAAGGGAGAAAAAAGGAAAGATATAATAATTGTAATAAAAAGAATATCAGCCAACAACTATAAACCAGAGACATTCTACGGGGATAGTGAGGGGAATAGGATCAAAACAGAGTGGGAAGAGCACACAGGATTATGGTGATGGCACATGGGTGAAGTGGTGAAGTCCATGGGGCTTACAACTGAGATGAAAAAATGTACAAATGAAGAACAATGTAGTATATATATGTGTATACATATATATATTATATATATACACACACACCTGTACACACACACACACGAAAATATTTTCCAACTTTTCAAGCTAAAACATAATTATTGTGTTTATATGGTTGGAGGCTATAGTGAAGACTACTAGGAAAGAACTGTCCTTACAAGGGCTCAGGATTTATCAGATTAGTATTACATTGACATTAATTATTCAAATTATATAACTTGTTATACTTTCGTAAACCTGTATTAGTTTATTTGGTCTGCTGGGACAAAAACAGACCGGCTTGCTTATGCAATAAAAATTTTATTTCCTCATAGTCTGGAGGTGTCCAACATCAAGGTGTCCAACATTGGTTTCATTCTGAAGCCTCTCTGGTTTGTAGATGGGTTATAGATATTTTTGTCATCACTTGGTCTTACCCCCATGTCTTTCTCTCCTCTTCTTATAGGGACATCAGTCACATTGGATTATGACCATAATAACCACCTCATTTTGCCTTAATTATGTCTTAAAAGGCCCAGTCTGCAAATATAGCCACTCTGACTTACTGGGGGTTAAGACTTCAACATATGAATTTTAGGGGACTACAATTCAGCTCAAAGCAAACCCCAGAAGCCTTTGGGATATAATTTTATTTCTTAAAAAGAACAAATTTGGGCCTCCCTGATGGTCTAGGAGTTAAGTGTCAGCATTATCCCTGCAATGACCAGACCTAAGGGAACTAACCTATATGGCGCAGCAGACCTCTCCTGTCTCACCCACTGCTTTCCTTGGCGGTGTATTTCCTAGATCTGCCTGTTCTGCTCCCCTCTGTCTCTAGTGAATCATCTCACCCCTGCACCTCTGACCTATACCCAGTTCTTCTGTACATAAATCTTTTCAAAAATAAAGCCACAACTGAGCTTTAAAAAAAAAAAAAGAAAAAGATGTATATAAATAAACATTTTTAAAATAAAGAACAATTTCAAGAAAAGAATATATGTAGTTAAGG